GATTGGGGCATAAAGAGTCTTGAGGAACCCAGAGTTAACCCAGTATCTGTGTCTACAGGGAATCCAGATCAGGGCCTCAAACTGCACAATGGGTCACAACCAGGGAATCCCAGTTATGTTCCTAGTACATAGCAATGCCCAAGTCTTCTCCAGGTCAGAGGTCAGGAGCTGGGGAGTCTAGACCACATGATGGGTTTTAGTGGGAGTGAGGCACTGAGGCCCAAGGCAGGAGCAAGACATCAGGATCAAAGGCTGGGAGCAAAGTTTGGGAGCTGCTGAAATGTTGAGCAGTAAAAGCTCAAATGAAGGGCCTGGGCTTATAAACTAAGCCCAACCTATCCTGCAGTCATACTCTTCAATTCTTGCAGCTGATGCCACTCATATCAGGTGGTGCTGCTAAGGGTACATATTCAGCTTGTATTGGTCAAGTACCAGAGGCTGATAGCAAGGTTTAACTTTCAAGTACATTCTCCTCCTCTCTGAGGGCATAGCAGAAGCAACAACTCTGTGAACCCACTTGACTCAACCAGAGGAGGACAGTTGTCTGTAGCCCTTGTTTTCCCTTAGGTATTTGCCAGTGAGAGACGGCCCTTAGAACAAATCCACTTCCACTGAAAGCCTGCTGGGGAAGAGGCATACGCCATATGTACGTTCTTCAGAATGGAAGATGCTCATAATAAACATGAGATGAACTGGAAAAAAATAGTCTTACCTCCTGATATTCCAGCCCTTTCTTGGGAGGAGGAGGGATAACGTTAGGTGTGTTGGATTTAAATTCCTATCTTTGAAACCAAGAACCAAAGATGTGACGGCTTTTTAGTACTGGATTTTATTCAGACCCTCCGAATAACGAGGGACCGTGTTTTCCCTCCTCCCCACTTCTCACCTCACACCACAACATAAGCAGAGTTTGACGACTCTGTCTTCCTTAGGATCATGGGTTAAGATTCTTATATGTGACTTGGGCAGCCACACTTCTGGAAAATATTCAGCCCACAAGTACCCATCTATGGCAGAACCCACAGAATTCACCTAAGGAAGGCGAATGGGCAAGTGCAGAACTGGTCTTTAATACTCTAGCTTAAACACAGCTTTTTATAAAAAGTAGAATTAGAACACACTGTAGTTAGTGCTTTCTCCTGCGGAGAGCCCATTCCTCTCCTGGGCAGGAGAGGCTGTCCCCCAGCCCTCCACAGCATGGTTAGAGACTGAGACAAACTGGAGGATTGGACCAAAAGAAGGTTCAGCAAGGACATGTGCAAAGTCCTGCACTTAGGATAGAAGAATCCCATGCACCGCTATAGGCTGGGGAATGACTGGCTGCAGCAGCTCTGCAGAAAAGGACCTGGGGGTTACAGTGGATAATAAGCTGAATACGAGCCAACAATGTGCCCTTGTTGCAAAGAAGGCTAACAGCATTCTGGGCTGTGTTGGTAGGACTGTTGCCAGCAGGTGGAGGGAAGTGATTCTTCCCCTCTATTCAGCACTGGTGAGGCCACATCTGGAGTACTGTGTCCAGTTTTGGGCCCCCCCACTACAGAAAGGATGTGGACAAATTGGAGAGAATCCAGCAGAGGGCAACAAAAATGGTTTGGGGGCTGGGGGACATGACTTCTGAAGAGAGGCTAGGGGAACTGGGCTTATTTAGTTGGGAGAAGAGAAGACGGAGGGGGGATTTGATAGCAGCCTTCAACTACCTGAAGTGTGGTTTGAAAGAGGATGGAGCTAGACTGGTTCTCACTGGTGACAGATGACAGAACAAGGAGCAACGGTTTCAAGTTGCAGCAGGGGAACTTTAGGCTGGATATTAGGAAAGAAAACTTTCTCACGAGGACGGTAAGAGCAGCATGGGACAGGTATATTGGATCACCTTAAGTCTATAGGGTGGAGAGTGCATGAACTAAGACATCAAGAGAAAAATTACTAGGATATTAAGGAGCTAGAGGGCAGAGAGAATGACTAACTAGAAGTAAGAATTGGTAATTTAAAAAAACCTAATTCATGGGTAACTGATATCAAAGAATGTGCAGGCTAATTATATCTTGAATATAGTAAAGAGTGTTAATTACTAAATTTTGAGGAATTAATGCTGTTTAGCTGATGTGTTTTCCCGCTTCCCCCAAATAAGTCAGCCTATAGACATGTTCATCTAATACACTGATTTATTATAGATTAAAGCAACTGCTGAATGGAGTGTCAACCAACATCTCATAGCTAAAGAATAAGGCATGATTTTAAAATTTGAAATTTGTTAGCATCTATTTTATTGAATTTATACGAACAGGAAAATTGAACAGAGCCTGAGCTATCACTCTTAATAACTCACCTAATACATATTATTGAAAATTCATATTTCTTTTATTATTTGGTCACAAAATGGACCTAATGCTTGTTGGCTTTAAAACACCTACTAGTGCTGCTTTCTCTCTCCATCTTGCAAAATATAAGACAAGGCCAAAGCTTAAATTAAAATCCTCAGGTTCTTATCTCTTTCCCACAGGAAAGCAAATCTGTGTTGAAAACCGTAAAATTAAGAGGAGAGCAAGGATAGCATAATTTAGCAAAAATTCATGGCACCAGATTCTGAGCTATATGACTGGAGGGATAGGTCAGACATTTAAGAAGATACTGCCTGCTAATGCAAGTTCCTTAAGGTGGTGCTCTGAAAACAAGGAAAGCAAAAATGCTGCACAGGTTCCCATTTGCTCCTCTCTTTCCCACCCCTATTTCACCCATGTACTGCTATCAGACTTAATAAATTGAGTGGTCTATTTAATAACCCTTCTAGTTGTAGACGTCAAAAGAAACCCTTGATTTATACTTTAAATATTGTCCTAAAATCTGTTATTGTGACAGGATTTGAGTATTGAGAGTCAAACAAAATTAATTTCAGTGGGTTCTTAAATTTTTTTTTCTTCTCTAATTCCCAATAGTTGACAGTCTGTCCTTGCTGAGCTTTATCAGCATTTTTGTCTGAATGCCCTTTCCATTTTTATTAGAAGCTTCTGTTTGTGGCTTAATTATTTTTGCTGAGGGGCAGCCCACAGAATGGTGGGGTAGAAATGACGAGTAATACTGTGCCTATTACATGCTGGGATTATGACTGCAGCTAGTCCTGCTATGGGAAAAGAAAAATTATGATAAAATGTAGAGAAGTGTTAATATGTAAATGGCCTTGACTGTCTGTGCAAAGCAGTTGTCTTCTAGCTTTTTGGATTTGGAGTTAATGTTGGGATGTGAGGAGAATTACTTTGATAACTATGCTATTCCTTTAGCCTCAGGGCACTCTTGAATATACCGGCTGAACGCTTTCCTTTTAAAGCTGTACTTAATTTGTAGAAAACGTCATATACAAATGTGGTTTTCCTTTATATAAGTATTGTCTTATGCTACCCAGTTGAGAGAATAATTGAGTGCTAATATAGCACTAATTCTTCCTAACATGTTTCTGTTCTTAGCATGCTGTGAACTAGGATTCTGAGTAACATGGTCTGGTGTTGCATGTCTCCTAAAATAGTCAGTGTTTTAATCGTAACAGATCTAATTTGTTAAACGGGCATGGACAACTACTTACCATACTTTTAAACATACAGAGCACCCTCAAATATAATATACGCCTTGGTTTTTAAAAAGCAAAATGAAGAAAAAAAGACTTTGGAAAAAGTTATGGCTGCATAGGGCAGGGACAGAGCCTGATGCTCTGCTTACTTTCCCTGCCTTTCCTGCTTAACTAAAGCCAACCCCTAGCTGCTGCTTCATGTCTGGATCTGTGATTCTGAAAAAAGCTAAATAGTCTCCAGAGCTGTGAAATAGGAGGAGACCAGGAGCAAGTAGGAGACAGCAAAATTGCCCTAAGAAACGTTAGTTTGATTAGTAGAACATCAAGACCATTTAAAAAAAAAAAAAGACCATCATTAACACCTGTGAAGTAACCAACAGTGAGCCATTAATTAAGTCAACTGATTCCCTCGGCTACCTGAATAGTAAAGGCCACAGCCGCTGAATGGTGGAGCAGAAATCAAATCAAAGACATTTTAATTAGAGTGGTTCCCAGATAGCCGCTCTAATTAGAACAGTTCACCATCACTTGTATTAAGCACCCCCATGTTTCAAAATGGCTGTGGGGATGCTTTAACTAAAGCTCATTCAACAAGCTTTAGTTAAAGCAACCCTGTGGCCATTTTGAAATGCTGGGGGCTTAATATGCATGATGCTGAGGCAACACTTGAATGTTCTAATTAGACCGCGGAGCAGACTTGCTTAATCAATTCTGCTCTGACACATTCTAATTAAAAAGCTAGCAAGCACGTCTATAGGCACCCTTAAGTTCTAGAATTGCTGGGGGAGGGTATGTATTAATGTCATAACGTCGTACAAATGCATGCATACCAGAAAATTGCTGCAAACAAAAATGAAACCAATTCAGCTGTCTTTGTTGGTAAGAGCCAAACCAATGCAGACAGTAATTGCTGAACTCTAAAGTTTTGCTTTTGCTGTCCTCCAGTTAAAGGTTTATGTGCTTGTCAGCCCAGCTGCCATCTGATGGCGGCACACTTGTTGGCAGTTGTCTATTTTGGTCCTACATGGACTGCTTAGCCTCTTTCTTTGTCTCCTGCTAACTTGTTCCTCTATAAAGGTACTCCAGCTGACATATGGCCTCTTGCACCTCTCAAGAACGACTGATGCAGCTCCGTTCTCTCATGACTGTTTCTTTGCCTAACCATACCCACTTCCTGGCTGTTAGTTCAGCACCTGCTCTATATCTACCTCGGCAGTCATTGCAAGTCTTAGCACTTGTCACTCCTCATCCCTCCCCCCCGAAACCCTCTGTGTAGAAGCAGGTGAGAGTCCTTGTCTTGTGTGTCTGGGGACAAAAAGCTGACATATTGTTTCTTTATAACTTGTTCCCTTATTTGTATGTACTCATGAGTGGCTTTTTTGTATAATAATGAACATGATGCATGGGCATCATTACTAGTGCTTGCCTTTTTCTCTTGCAGTCAAACAAGGTGCCAGTGGTGCAGCCTTCCCATGCGGTTCACCCTCTCACCCCACTTATCACCTACAGCGACGAGCACTTTTCCCCAGGGTCACACCCTTCGCACATCCCCTCAGACGTCAACTCAAAGCAAGGTGAGACTTCTTTTTATATTTAAAAAAGAGAATGGGGAACTAATGCAAGTGTTGGTTTTGGAGCTTTAGTACCACCAGTGCTATCAAAGGGTCTCTTGTACATTTTGGTTCTGTGGGGTTCATAACTAGGCGAACAGTCTTCCTCAGAAAGTTGTCATACAGCATATTTACATGGGGTGGCTGTTCTCTTCTATCGGGGTTGGCTGTTTTGAGCAAAATGTATAGGTTCACCTTTTTGCCTCATTACTTTTCAAAACTATCATTTAAAAAAAAATCAGTCTCTGGCATTCCCTTTGAGCCCATATATTGCAGCACACAGGTTTTTCATGATCTGAAAACTTCTAGAGACGCACAGAAAGGAGAGTTCAGTCTTAGTTATTTCCTTATTTTTATTAAGCTTCCCTTAATATATTTGATAATAGTACTGTCAAACCAAGAACATTCCTTTGCCTCCTCTTCCCACCTTACTGCCACTTTATTTTAATTGGCTTGTAGTCTGCAAAAAAAAATATAGCTTTCAGAACACAAAAGTATAACACCACATAAACTTAACAGCCTTAAAAGTTTCTTGTGCCTAATACCTCTTGCTTGTGAAGAAATGTCAATTAGTTCATTATAGAAGTAGACATTTTTGGATGTCAATTTTTCTCAATTCTCTTATCACATCAACTCCTCTCCCCTAAATTTATCAGGAAATTGTAGCTACAAGTATGATAGACTAAACGTTTACTGAGAAGCATTGTCCTGCAACACAAATGAGCAGTGTCACTGAACACAATTTCTGGGACTTCAAGTGAAAGGCTCAGATCCACAAACATTAGAACTAAATCTGAGCTCAGTTTTGAGCTTAAAACTATGCCAAGCATTGTCATGATTTTAGTCTCTACAGTTCAGTTTAAAATCCTGTGTGAAGCCCACACTGGCATGAACTGGAAAGAGACATCAGAAGGGAGAATTTTTAAAAACACGGTATATGTGCATGAGGGCAAGAAGAGCAAAAGTGGACATGGAGGAGAGTATGATGGGATGAAGGCATGGGCATGGCAAGGACAAGGAAGGAGCAAGTAAGATGAGGAAACTCTAGAGAGAAGGGGCATGGTGATAAATGAGGTAAGGCTAAGGAGAGTGGAGAAGCAGTCCAGGGCAATTGAGCATTTAGAGACAAGAGGAGAGAGAAAGTTAAGAGCACACTAGGTCAGCAGGTGGGACAGCTGGGGCAAAAATGGTATGATGGAATCGGATGAAGATGAAAATGGGTAGATAGGAGTTGTAGAAAATTGTTTCTTACTGTAACCCGTTCTTTTGAGAGGGGCTGCTTCTCTGGACCGGTGGTGGTCAGGATGCTCAGTCAGGAAAAAGTTGATGGCAAACTTATTCTTGTGGAAGAGCTGGTGGTTTTAGGCTGTGTTTAGGAGAAAAGAGTTAATAGTATTGAGAGCCTGTTCAGCCCGGACAAAGTGGCAACTTCTGTGCAATTGGAAGGTGTAATCATGCAGTTGGAGGTCAGCCAAGCTACAGAGATCGTATCTGGATCTGGCCATCCATGGAGTCCTGGTTTGTCTCTATTGGGTTCCTTAAGAAAACATTTTTTTATAGCTCCAGGAACTGAATAGTGCTGACATTGTCCTCGGTGTCCATGCTCAGGAGAACAATATATGGGTTTTCCTAGGGGCGGGGGGTCCTGTACAGTGTTGTTTGCAGTCTCACTGATGCAGCATCTGTCCCTTTTTTAACATAGTTAAGATGTAAAATTCCCAGGACCATTGCATCCTGGGGTAGTTGATTGGGTATGTAGCACTTGAGTGGTATGAGGGCTCAGAAGCTAATGGAACTATTGATTTGCTATTCACTATCTTGCTATGCCACAATTATGTTCTGTCATCAACCAGAGCTTGTTTCCCTGTGTCCCATAGATTTTAGCCTGTCGTATTTTGGTTCTCCTTTGTCTTTTGTTTTCTTTATTTTCTTTTTAAAGTAAACATTGACTGCTGTAGTTCCCCTGCTTTACCTGTGGCAGGTTATAGTGTTATGTCGTGTGGTGTTTCAGGGATTACAGCAGTGGTTGTTTAGATTATGGATTGTATAGGATGATTTGGATAAGTATGATCCTGCCTCAGGTTAGCTGACCCTTTCCAGCCCTACTTTCTCCCTGTTTATCAGGTCTCTCTTGTCCTTAATGCAGGGCATAGAGCATAGTCTCCCTGGATGGCTAGCAGGGGTGTCGTGCACAGGTGAAACCCGCTGATGGAGAGATTAGAATGTGGGGGAAGGAGACAGAAGCCCCGGTCTCCAGGTTTTAGACCAGATACTCCAGGTTTTAGACCAGGGTGAAGATCTGTCTAAAGTGCCATCAGTGCATTGGAGCAGCCCTAGTAAAATGGGACATCCGGTCATTTATAGAAATAGTGTGAAAAAGTTTCTGGCATGTCAGTGTTTCTGTTCTAGGTCCTGGTCAGCCTTACTAATGTGAGTACTCCAGATCCAAGTTTCCAAATGCCCCCTGCTTTAGGCCCTGCTAGACTGTGCAGTTGATCACTGGGGCTTGCTTTATCTTGGACAACTGCAACATGTTTCTCAGCAAGTTATTCTTCTTGTGTCAAGGTGCCCTGCATTAGCTGAGAAATTATATAGGAACACATGGGACACAAAGGGGATCCAAAATTTACAAGAGATATTCCTGTTTTGACTGTCTTTGTCTCAAATAGAGAGTTCTTCAGCAGCATCCATGGGGAAAATTTCTGTCATGGTGACACTGCCTGCCTTTTGTTAAATCAAATAATCTAAGAATTGAAAGTTAGCATCAAATTAATACATATGAAGCTTTTTACTTTATATAATCTGAATAAAAGTGAAGACTCTCCAAGGAAGTAGGAGGTTCTTCTTATTCTTTTTTAATTTGTCCTTTTATGATTGCAAACGGTTGTCATGTCCAAAAGTCAATACATTTCATGTGAATAAAAAATTCACACTGTACTACTTCAAGCTAAAAAGTATGTGGGTTTTACTGCTAGAAAGTGGTCAGCTATAGCTGGGTTCCTTAAGAGCTAAATAGCCTGTACTAGCAATAACCCTTCTATGCTTGTACAGTAAAGGCAATCCACTCTCATGCTGCAGGATTTAATACTACTGATTGTAGAAATAGAATAGCCCACCCTCTTCTATAGACCTGTTCAATTTGGTACTTGCAGTATAGTGGTCTCAATACAGGAAAACTTTGGAGGATGGCCATCCCAAGAAGTGACTTGGTTTCTCATTTGGCGATTCTTACACAATCTGTGAATGGAAGAGGGGATTCTGAAATAATCATAGAATCAATGAGTGGGAAGGGACCTAGACAGATCATCTAGTCCGACCCCCTGCCATGGGCAGGAAGGAGCACTGGGGGTGGGAGGGGTCATAAGACCCCAGCCAGGTGCCTATCCAGTCTCCTCTTGAAGATTTCCAGGGAAGGTGAGAGCACCACCTCTCTGGGAAGCCTATTCCAGGCTCTTACAGTGAAGTAGTTCTTCCTAATATCTAACCTAAACCTATCCTCCCTCAGCTTGTGGCCATTGTTTCTGGTGACTCCAAGGGGGGCCCTGGTGAACAGACTTTCCCCGAGTCCCTGCTGCTGGTCCCTGATAAGGTTGTAGGCAGCCACAAGATCCCCCCCTCAGTCTCCTCTTGTGGAGACTGAAGAGATTCAGGTCCCTCAGCCTCTTCTCATAGGGCTGGCCACAGAGGCCCCCAACCATACGAGTGGCCTCCTCTGGACCCTCTCCAGGTTCTCCACGTCCCTCCCGAAGTGCAGCGCCCAGAACTGGACACAGTACTCAAGAAGAAAGCAGTTTTTCTGTCACCCACTCTTTTCTTTAATCTTTAAGTATGAATTGACTATAGATTAGCATTCAGTGAGCCTATATTGTTCACCTCTGCTTCTAATGAAATGTCAAAGCTGACAGAGCAGCAGTAACACTATTAGCAGCACTTTTCCATCCACACCCACCCTCACTCCTATTTCCCACAGCATGGACCCCAGCCCCATGAACCCTAGGCA